CTCCCTCGGACCTCGCCCCCGCTGCGGACCCCCTGGCCCCGGCTGCAGCCTCCCACCTCTGGCCCGGCGACTGCGGAGCCTGCGCGCGCACTCACTCTGCAGCCGCGCCGACTTCTGTCCATTTGTTCGCCCCCAGATATTTATGGGGCGCCAACTACGTGCCGGCGCTTCGCGGGGCGTAGAGGGGTGGGCACTAGGAGAGGCGGAGCCAACACTCGAGCCCATAAACGTAGAGCTGCCGATTATGGTAAACGCAATGGAGAAACACGGGTTGGGGTGGTGGTGGTGGGGCGTTTAATGGCGAGGCTGGAGGGGGCGTGGGTGGGGGATGGGAGATAAGGAGATGGGGGCTGGCAGGGAGGACTGCCCAGGGAAGGAGAGCGAGGCCTGGGCGTGCTGAGATCTCCAAACAGATCAGTCAAGTCCCACCTCGAAACGCTGGTCTGCTGCACTAGGCCCGCACACAAGCCCCTGGAATGCGGCTCTGTGAGAAAGCCTTTGTGTGCAGTATCTCATTAATTCTCTCAGAGATCCTAAAACGGTATTCTTTTTTTTTTTTTAAAGATTTTATTTATTTTATTTTTTTCCCCCCAAAGCCCCAGTAGATAGTTGTATGTCATAGCTGCACATCCTTCTAGTTGCTGTATGTGGGACTCGGCCTCAGGATGGACGGAGAAGTGGTGCCTCGATGCACACCCGGGATCCGAACCCGGGCCACCAGCATCGCAGCGCGCGCACTTAACCACCAAGCCACAGGGCCGGCCCCCTAAAACGGTATTCTGGTTTTACAGGTGAAGAAGCTGAGCACAGAGAAGGTAGGTAATCTGGCCAAGGTTGCACAGCCCAGCATTGGAAGCCAGAAGGTCTGGATCCAAGCCCACGGTCTGCACTTTTACAAAAACAAACCAAACCAAAGAAAATCATCAGCGAGGAGAGTTTGTTCCCCGCTGGGAGTGGAAAAGGGCCGCAGAGGAGGGAGGTGGCTGTGAACTTGGTGTTTGCTGTGAACTTGGTGTTTGCAGGAAAGGCAGCTTCTCAAAGGCAGGTGGTCAGAGCCAACCCAGGTCCTCACTGCCCAGCCCAGCTCTGATCAAATCCAGCCCATGGCATTTGAGACTTGAACAGTGAGGCAGGCTAATAGGTCCCATTTTTCCTTAGTTTACAAAACAAACGAAAACAAAAACTGCTGTTTGATTCCATCTAAAATGATTTCATGACCCACTGGGACAACCCCCTGTAGTTTGAAAGCCACTGGACCCTGTGCCACCCCAAGAGGTGGAGAGTTTGGCATCTCAGAGATAAAGCTGAGTTGCAGGGTGACTGGTGGGGACATAAGCAAGCCAGTGACCCCTGGGAAGTCAGGACAGGGGGTGGGCACAGGCTGCTCGGAGTCAGCTGAGGTGGTAGATTGTGTTTTCTCAAAATGGTCAGAGCAGTATTTCTGATTCCACATGTCTTCCAGAGCCTTCCACTCCCATCAAGACACTCTCCATCTATGTTCCTTCCGCTTCAACCTGGGCAATGTTTGTGACTACTCCTGCTGATAGAATGTGGCAGAAGTGATGTTGTGTTACTTCCAAGGCTGGGTCATAAGGAGGACTCAGCTGTCTCTCTGAAGGTTCCCCTGGAACCTGGCCACCCTGTGTGAGAAAGCCCAGGCCACTTGAGAGGCCACCTGTGTGTGTTCTGGCCGGCAATAGCAAATTGGCGAGATGTGATACCCTGCCTTTGAGCCAGCCCCCGGGGCAGAGGCAAGCTGTCCCCACCCAGTCCTGGCCGAGTTGCAGAATCATGAGCCAAACCGGTGTTGTCGCTGTGTTAAGCCACTGTGTGTTGGGGACAACCTGCTCTGCAGTCATAGTAGCTGTAACAGTGACTGTTGTTTCATAAGTATCCCCACTGGAGAGATGAGTAAATGGATACGGAGAGGGTCTCGTCAAAGGCATCCCAGCTGGTAAGCAGGAGGTGATCTGACTCCAGAGGCCAGTGTTTATTTTTAACTTTTCATTAAGAACATTTTCTTTTTTTTTTTTTTTTTTTTTTTAAGGTTTTTTTTTTTTTTTTTTTTTCCCCCCAAAGCCCCAGTGGATAGTTGTGTGTCGTAGCTGCACATCCTTCTAGTTGCTGTATGTGGGACTCGGCCTCAGGATGAACGGAGAAGTGGTGCCTCGATGCGCACCCGGGATCCGAACCCGGGCCGCCAGCATAGCAGCGCGCGCACTTAACCACCAAGCCACAGGGCCGGCCCTTTTTAAGAACATTTTCAAACAAAAGTAGAGAGAACAGCACAATCAACCCGCATGTACCCGTCACTTAGATTCAACGATTTACCAACTCCTGGCTGATTTTGTTTCTTCTCTACTCTCAATTGCCTCTCTTCACTGCTGGGTTGTTTGGAAGCAAATCCTATACACGTTATGTAATTTCATTTGTAAATACGTCACTATTTATCTCTTAAAGCAAGTCCAGTCTTCTTCAGCGCTCTGTGATCCTGACATGCAGGCCTCCATTGAGTTGGGGCAGTGGCCTGAGGCAGTTTGCCTGGCCGACTGAGGAAGTGGGCATTGGGAAGAGCCAGGCATTACACAGCACGGTCGGTGAGGCTTATGTATCCACATTTGCTCTCAGGTTTAGCAGGAAACTCAGATGCCATTTATCTGGGTTTCTGAGCTGCCAGGCTTGATGCTGAATAAAAGTATCTTAAGCCACACATGTGAAGAAAAGGCTCTTTTCTAAAAATCTAAACTTGAATCCAGTATAAAAAGCACAGGTCACTGTGGGCCTTGTCGGGAGCCCTGGGAGTCGGCAGCCAGGGCTCCCCACACTATTCATCTTGGCAGTCACACTGATCAACCAAGCTGTACTGCAGGTGTGGGCCAGATGCACACCGCATCTCCTTCTCCTGAGCTAACCCTCCTGTTCTCGCCCTTTTTGCTGAAAGGAATTCTTGTTATGTGTTTGTTTAATTCAGGACTCCCTGTCAGATTTCCAAAGCAAACAGCCAATCAGCATGAAGCACCTAGCATATTGGGTCTGCAATATGCTAAATGATATGTTAATGTTAATATGTTAAACGATAATAATTACCCCGCTGTTGCCACTCTCCTGTACTGTCTCACCTGCCAGACTCCCTCTGGGAGACCCACCTTGGGGGAGAAGGCCCCTCAGGTCAGTGGTGTCAGCACAGAGGCGCAGGCGCTAGGCTGCCCAGGCACAGTGCTCCGACCAGACCTCACAGAGGCCTCAGGGCCTGCTATAAAGAAGTCATAGCTCTGTGCAAGCTGCGGCAGTGCAGTCCTTCTGACTGGCTGCTCCTCTCCAAGAACAATCAGGGCTCGAGTGGGCAAACGGGAAGCCCCTCAGGCTCATCACTGTGGCTCTCATATCCCTGCTGCTGTGTGGGTGCCTGCGGCCTGAGCAAGCCCAGTGCATAAGGCATCTTACCCCTGGGCGGGCCAGGCAGATCCAAGCCCCAAGAGCCTTTCTTCATTACTCACACTCTGTCCCCAACACAGTTCTCCAGGGGGAGAAGATTCTGGAATCTTCTCCATCCCAAAACAGATGGGGAAACATGACCTGATGCAAAACCACTATTTAGGAAGATGCTCAAGTTGGGAGTGTCAACCTACAGAAACAGACACCGGTTTAAGAGCAAAGTGTTTATTTGGGATCAAAGAATTGCATTCGGGGAGCGCAGGTTCAGGTAGAAACCCAAACTGTGTCCTGATTACAGGAGAGGGGCTCAGGGTTTTTATGGGAAAAAGGAAGGAAGGGGAGGTGAGTTGTACTAAAGAGGAGTTCGTTGGTGCTGGATGAGGTCAGGCGAGGTTTGTAATTCCTAGATTGGCTTGAGCTTCGGTCTTCAGGGAAAAGGCTAGACTTGAACTTCATTGGTTAGCAATTCGGTCATCAGCAAAGTCCAGTTCCATCAGTCCTTACAGACAGGATATTCTTGTCCTCACTGACTTCTTGGAGTGCTGCCAGTTTGGTCCAGCTTGGAAGATAGAGAAAACAGGACGCAAAATGAAATTTCTCTGAAACAGTTGCTCTGGCTCTGTGTTAATATGGCTCCACTCATGTCCTCTTTCACAAGAGTGTAGGACTAAAAGACAACAAATGGTGTGTAAAGATGACCACCTCAAGGCCCGCCCAGTGGCATAGTGGTTAAGTTCACGGGCCCCACTTCAGTGGCCTGGGGTTCACAGGTTCAGATCCCGGGTGCGGACCTACACACTGCTCATCAAGCCATGCTGTGGGGGCATTCTACATACAAATAGAGGAAGATGAGCACAGATGGTAGCTCAGGGCCAATCTTCCTCAGCAAAAAAAACCAAAAAAAAAAAAAACGCCCAACAAACGACCACCTCTTGTGACAAACTCCTACCCTTCTTGGTGACAGAGAGATGTGTATAGGTAAAAGGGTGGTGGCTGGGAGTGGAAATTCGTTTTGGAAATCGTAAAATGGTTAGCGGTTTTCAGAGCAAGAGGTTAGGAGAGGAAGCTGGTGATTCTCTCTTATCTGTAGTGCTGTCTGGAAACGTCTGGCAGCTTATCTGGTTTTTCCTCACCACGAGGACAGGGGGCCACCGAGGAGGCCTCTTCAGGCAGAGCAGTTTACTTTTGTGAGGGTGACACTTGCTAATTTCCAAACTTTGGACCTAGCTGGAACATACTTTCCTTTCCAATTTTTTTTTCTTCTGAGGATTTGTGGAAACCCTGCCATCTTCCATCCTCACCAGGGCAGAGGTGGGAGGAGTCTTCAGAGGTGGGCAGGGTGGGGTGAGGCCCGGGGCAGAGTCTCAGCCCATATTTGAATCTAATTTGGATAATGTCCCGGAGCCTTGGGGGCCAGATCCGTCCTCCCTTCCTCTCTCCCTCATTGAAGGCAACCTGCTGTGGACTCTTCTCGGTTGTAGGTAAGACGTGGACAAAACGGTTCCTTCTCCGCGTCCCATGGAGCTTAAGTTCCAGTGGGGAGACCGGCAATAAGCAAATACATCTCGCACCGAAACGCACTTAGGAGAGTCGAGGAGCCCCAGCGCGTAGAGGACACCTTGCCGCGAGCAAAACCTCGGACTCCGCAACCCCTGGCTCGGTCCGGCGCGCGTTGCTAGAGACACGCTCCCGCCGTTGCCAGGGCGTGTAGTGGCGGACGGAGTCTCGCGAGGATCCTCGAGACTGCGCGCGGGATCGCCCAGCGGTTGCCGAGAGACGACGCAGCCTTCGGCGGGGGGGCACGTTTGTCCTCTGTTCGCGGCCCCTGACGGCCACCGCCATGGTGAGGAGGGGCGGGCAGCCACTAGGGTCTGCGCCGGGGCCTGGTGCTCCTTGGTTAACCGGCCCTGCGCGCGGAGACCCCTGGACGGGGAGGCCTGAGCTCCGGGGTCTCCTGCGCAGAGAGACCCCTGGATGGGGAGCCCTGGGTCCCCGGGACCTGTGCACACTGAGACTCCAGGAGGGGAGGCCTGGGGCTCTGGGTTTTTGGACTTGAGAACTTGGTGCTCTCCTGGAGTTCCCGTGGGTAGAGCCCAGGGCCCCATCCCGCATCCCCCATGCCGCATCCCGCATGCACTTGGAGCTGAGAGATCTGTGCTCTCCAGGATCCTGTACAGGGGTGGTCATAGAACCCTCCCCCCGGGACCCAGGGCCTAGTGTGCAGGGCATCCAGAAGAGAGAACCTAGGTAAAGGGGATTTCCAGCCTGGAATGGAAGGCTTGGTTGGTCAGATCTTTGGACCTAGGGTCTCACCTGGCAGGGCTCTGAGGCACACACAGTCCTCATGGAGGAGAGTCTGGTGCAGGGGATACCCTGGGACCTTCAGTCCCGGAGTTGGAGAGCCTGGGGCATACCAGGTGGCTAGAGGTCCCTGAACACCAGGGGGTCTTGGACAGAGGGTCCGGTGCCCAGGGTAGAGCCTTAGGGTACAGGAACTGCTCTTTCCTTGGAGAACCTCAGAGAAGTCAGGCCGGTATTGAGAAGAGCCTGGTGGGAGCTGCTGCCTCACCAGTTCTCCATCCTGTGGCTCTTATGTGATAGGGCCCTCAGCTGCCCCCTCCCCGCGATATTGTTGTCAGTGATTCAGCGTGGAGGCAGGAGCAGCAGGGTGGGTATCTGGATGCTGGAGGGAGGATGCCTCTATGTGGGCGATGCCCAGGAGCTTGTTCAGGCCCCTGAAGTGGGCTGTGGGTGTCCCAGATGCAAAGTGGTGACGAGCCTTTGGGATCTTCTGATGGGGTGGACTTCTTGGAGTAGAGGGATTAGAAAAAGGGCAGAACATTAGGAGGGAAGATTTCAGTGGATGAGTCTTTTGTAAATTAACTGGAAAAAGACCACCAAAATACATCTAATCACTAGCTTGTGGGAATATGGGTGGTTTTCTTTTCTTTTTTTTGCTCTTTATGTTTTCTAAGATTTCCACATAAATTTTTTTTGTAATCATGAAAATGTTACAGAGACATTTAAAGACACATGCACATAAAAACATTACAGAGCCATGTAGATGCACACGCACACAAAAGCACAGGCCACAGAGAGTTGGGAGAAGAGAAGGCAGAAGGACGAGGATCTGGAAGTTCAGTATCTGCTGGAGCAGCCCTTGGGAGCTGAGTGGGCCGGACGGTTCTCTCTCTCACCTTGTTGAAGTTGTTAAAAGAAGCGTGACACCCCGAGCAGTTCCATATGGTGAACCATTTACCGAGTGCCCAGGGTGAGTGCTGTCCACTCCAGCTGTCTGGACCAGGTTCTCTGAAGGAGTTTTATATCTGGAAGAAAGGAAGCCTCATATTGTCGCCTTCGATCATTACTATGTAGGCATTTCTCCGTACACGTGTGGAAGAGTTTTTTGCAGGTTTCTCTATGGTGGTTACCAAGCATTAGGCAGAACCCCAATACCACACTGCCAAATGTTACCATGTTGGCTATAATGCTTGGTAACATTTGGCAGTGTGGTATTGGGGTTCTGCCTTCTTGAGGCCAAGTAGACTTTGCATCCACACCAAGGAGGTCTCTGCCATATACCAAGGAGTGGATGTGGAATGAGTTCCCCTCTGTTCCTTTCTGAGGGGGAAACTGTTGCCTTCTGAAAAGGAAGATTTGTCCTTCTTGCTTCTCCAAAGATGTCAACAGAGAAGGTGTGGTTAAGGTTGGGAAACCTTAGTGCAGAGTGATGTGCTCCAGGTGGGGGCATGAGCAGTAGAGTAGAGGTTCCAAACAGGTACTCCTCTCCTGCGGGACCCTGGGAGGGAATCAGAACCCGCCAGAAGGTGAAGCCATTAGTCAGAGCCTCCCTTGCTGACCCAATCATCTCTTCTTTAACCAAAGGCTCCCAAAAAGAAAGGGAAGAAAGGGAAAGCCAAAGGTACCCCGATTATTGACGGGCTCGCTCCGGAGGACATGAGCAAGGAGCAGGTGAGTGGGACCAGCCCGGCCCTGTGCCTTGGCCCAGTCCTGGGTCGGGGTGGGTGGGTGCTATTCCAATTCGTCTCTCTGGCCGTTTGTGTTCATGAACCTCTTTCAGACCGCGCATTGCTGCCTTCTGCCTCCTCGCGCATCTCCCCTCAGTCTGGCTCCTGTACTTCTGTCCAGACCAGGATATGCCTTCCCCATTTCCATAGTTCTCATCAGCTCCAGAGCTCTCAAGCACAGTACATATTAAAAAAAAAATGCAATAACAGCCACGTCGAAGAACTTTTTTATAGCGTTGTAGGGATTTGGAAGGAAATGTTTTTCTGATATAAAAGCTAGTTTTAATTTTCTGTATTTGCTTTCAATTTTATTCTTTTATGCACCTGATGTTTACAGAGCTGTTATCAGCACATGCATCTATAGCATTCTCCTTTATTTTATTTAACATTAAACATTAGGAATTATTTTAAGCCACTTGTCCGTTTTGATGAAGTTAAGGGCTAGAGAACATAATTATCTAATTACAATTTCAATTAAAAGGCTCCTGATGGGCCGGCCCCGTGGCTTAGCGGTTAGGTGTGCGCGCTCCGCTGCTGGCAGCCCGGGGTCGGATCCCGGGCGCGCACCGACACACTGCTTCTCCGGCCATGCTGAGGCCGCGTCCCACATACAGCAACTAGAGGGATGTGCAGCTATGACACACAACTATCCACTGGGGCTCTGGGGGAAAAGATAAATAAATAAATAAAATTTAAAAAAAAAAAAAAAGGCTCCTGAAAACACAGCAAACCATGGGAGCAAGTGTGGTGCCTCCTCCAGCCTCTGTGCTGTTGACAGCTGCTCCATGAGCATCTCACATGGATCTGAGGGCTCTGTGTCAACTGTATGTTAGTGTTAACAACCTTTACTTTCTTTTGATAGTTTTAAGATAAAAAATAAATACAAAGGAGATGACAGAGTCATGTGAGCTCAAGTTGGAAAGCTGGACAGACGCCCTTGAACGATGGTAGAGGGGCTTTATTTTACATGTAGGGGAGCCATTGGCAGTTTAGGCAGAGGGTAGTGGGGTCAGGTGTGTGTTTTGGAGATCACTGGGCTGTGAGGAGAATGGATTGCACATTGCATTGCCCCAGCAGTTGAGCTGTTTCCTGTCTCCCTTTTACTTCTGTCCCTGTGGACACATAACTGGGATGTGGCAGTGGTCGGTCTGCACAGCAGAGCCTTGCTGTGGCACAGTGCATGTTTGAGGCATGGACACCTTGGAAGTGACGAGGGTCCGGGCAGGAATGAGGTACTGGGGACATCTGCAGTCAGTTCAGTGGATGGTTACTCTGTGGACATTGGGCTCCAGTGCTGTATTCTGATTTTTTAAGAGAAACTGGAAATCTAAATATTGAGTGACGGCAAAATCTAACGATGGGAGCCAGAGTAGGTAGGAGCCTGGTTTAGACTATTTGTTTGAGTGACACTAAAGGTCTGTGACATGAAGACATTGTCATCTGCTGAGGCCCTAGTCAGATCCTGGGGTGCCATGTCTCCCTCATGGGGAGCCAAGCTCCAGCCTGGGTCCTCACCTCAGGGGCCCCCTTGTTGCCCCTCCTTGGCCCTTTCTTAAAGGGAGAAATGTGGTTTCCCTGTGGGGAATGGGGTTATCAGGAGAGAAGAGCTTTACAGTGAGTGGCCTGAAGTTATACTCAGAAGATAACCAATTCTTGAGGGTAATGAGATTCCCAAGAAAGCCAAGAGCCTGTCCTACTTTTTTTTTTTTTAACCTATTTGCAGATTTGCGATGGGCTGTGGACCAAACCCTCGTGACTGTTAGGGGTCTACTGGTTTTGTGTATTTTTTGCTTAACATACATCTTTAAAGGTGACTTTTTGCATTTAGCATTATTTTGTGAACGTGTTTACATGTTGCTACATCATTTTCATACCTCTGTATCTTTCACCCATATAATCTTCTGGTTGATATGCTATAATTTCCCAACCGTTTTCCTATTTAAAATCATCTTAGATCATTTCCTTTTTATTTTTTTTGCTGTTGTAATAACAATGTGGCAAATATCTGAGCAGAAAACTGTTGTGTTCTTTTGAGAAATTTCTTTAGTATATGTTCCTGGGAATGGATGAAAAGATACAACCATTTTATGATTATTTGCCAAATTCTAGAGATTTCTGCTATTTACTGAATGTATCCTGTTCCTGGAGCCTTTCTAGCATCATATTTTAACTTCTTACTTTTAGCTCTTATTTATTTTTAGGTGAGAGTGGTCCCTCCCTCCTCCTTCTCTGCCTTTCTCCGTCCACACGCCCCGTGCGGTGGGTGGGCTCCTGCTGGGTGCCTCACATGGCCCTGCTGTGCCTGGCCAGGTGGAGGAGCATGTCAGCCGCATCCGGGAGGAGCTGGACCGCGAGCGGGAGGAGCGCAACTACTTCCAGCTGGAGCGGGACAAGATCCACACTTTCTGGGAGATCACGCGGAGGCAGCTGGAGGAGAAGAAGGCCGAGCTGCGGAACAAAGACCGGGAGATGGAGGAGGCTGAGGAGAGGCACCAGGTGGAGATCAAGGTGAGTGGGCCGGCCCCTGTCCCCGCGGAGTCACCACACAGGAGCAGAGGAGTTGGATGAGGGGCATTTTCTCTTTTTGCTTTGGGGGTCACAGACCTGTTAATGTCCTTTACACTGGGAACCCGAAGGTATTTTTTATAAAGGAGCATGCATGTGCAGGAGTGTGTGCAGGTGAGCATGCGTGTACAGGTGAGCATGTGTATGCAGGAGTGTGTGTGCTTGTGCAAGTAAACATGCGTGTACAGGTGAGCATGCACATGCAGGAGTGTGTGTGCGTGTGCAGGGGAACATGTGTGTACAGGTGAGCATGTGTGTGCCAGAGTGTGTGTGCTTGTGCAGGTGAACAGGCAGTGCTCTCCTTGCCCACAGGTCTACAAGCAGAAGGTGAAGCACCTGCTGTACGAGCATCAGAACAACCTGACGGAGATGCAGGCTGAGGGCACGGTGGTCATGAAGCTGGCCCAGAAGGAGCACTGCACACAGGAGGGCCTGCTGCGCAAGGACGTGCGGGCACTGAAGGTGGAGCTCAAGGAGCAGGAGCTGGCCAACGAGGTGGTGATGCAGAACCTGCGGCTGGTAGGTGTGGGGGTCTCCGGTGCCCACTGGCTGGCTGCTGGGGACAGCAAACTCCTGATTATTCAACAGCAACTAGGAATTCATATTTTTGTGTAAAAACTCCTGCATTTTGGCAATTAATTGAAATACCACACACACAAAAAAGCATGCATCCAAACAAGCCCCATTTGGGGGTCAAGTGCAGAATTCTGTCTCAGACTTGATCAACAAATTGACTTCGCAAGAGGAAAACCCAGCTCAGGTCCCTCTCCATGTGCTGCTGACACATGACACCAGCTCCTTTCCAGGGAGTATGTCAGGTGCATTTAGAGACACACACAACCACTCAAGTGTCCAGCGCGCCAGCCCCTACGTGGCCATGGCAGTGTGTCATGCAAGCTGGGCTCATGAGCACCTGGCTGACTTTTGAGACTTTTTGGTCCTTTCTGAGGGAGGCCGGGGGGGTTCTAGGTGGAGGTTGAAATTCGTATGCTGAGCACCATAAGGTACCAGGCCCTGTTCTGATCTCTGGGGACATAGAGGGGACAGGACTGACAAATGCCTGTCCAGGTGTGGCTGATGGTCTAGAAAGGAGAGAGTATGCGTACAGTGGAAGACACAATAGTGTCCAGTACATACAGCACATCGTGGCATAAGTGCTGTGGGAGAGCAATGTGGGAAGGGGTGCTGGAAGTGAGGGTGGGCTGCATTTTCTACAAGGAGTTCTGAAAATGGCTCATTGATAAGGTGACGTTGGGCAGAGGCTGGAAGGAGGCAAAGGCTGAGCCAGGCTGGGGGAGACCAGGCCAGGAGAAAGGATAGGGGATTGGCCAGTGTGAAGGCCCAGGGGAGGCAGGAGCAAGAAGGCTGGGGAGCTAGGTCAGAGCTTGTTGGCCTCAGGAGCCACAGTGAGGACTGGGGCTTTGACCTTGCTGAGGCGGGGACCTCTGGATGATCTGGGCAGAGGGAGGATATGTCCGACTTTGGTTTGCAAAGGTTCTTCCTGCTGTGGGTTGAGAAGACTTTGCCAGCTCATGTGCCTCATGCCTAGAGGCAGCCCAGCCTCAACTGAATCTGGAAAAAACTCAGTAACGTTGCATACTTTGCAGTGAAGCCTGAGGGTGCTGAAATCTTGGACCTCAAGAATGTCTGGTCTTTCCTGACAAAAGCACAGAATGGGCTGGTTTCCAGTGAATTCCGTGATGTGAGGCTGTCTGCTTACCGGAGGCCTGGATATGGAGTAGTTATGTGGTTAGCTTCCCATTGCATAAAAAACCTGCTCTAAAAATAATTGAAATTTTTTATTCAAAACTTTTATATATAATATCTATTAAAATAATTCTTAATGCTGCTCTAAGCTGCAGCTGAAGCAGGTTAGTGGGCACCTGGAGAGAGCCTGCAGCTCTGCATAGTCTTCACTGCTCTTCAGCCTGTAGGCAGATTGGTCAAGAGGCCAAGCATGGTTAGTGCCTGGAATGTCTGCTGACATTCTCTCAAGCTCAGAGGGGACTTTAGCAGAGGGAAATGAGTTATGAAACGTGGAAGTTACCCAAGCCACGTTATTCTGGGTGTGGTCCATGGGCTCGGAGATGAGGGAACCCAGTACCCACCAGAAGCAGCACAGGATTTACTGAGCTGGATTTTCCATACCAGTGAGGAGCCGGGCCAGCCCAAGGGAGTGGCTTCTCTCTGTGCCAGACGTGCTAATGGCCTGCTCTGCCTTTGCAGAAACACTCCGAGGAAATCACCAAGATGCGAAACGACTTCGAGAGGCAGGTGCGAGGTCAGTTTCTCACACACATACTGTGTAAGATGATGCCAGAGCCCCCTCCCATAGAAAGTAATTTACCTCTGGGGTTTTTAACCCAGGGCACATCAACCAGGGTAAAACAGCCCAGACACGCAAAGAGAGAGAACGTGGTAGTTTCCAGGGCTGATGGACCGCTCAGAATTCCAGAACAACTGATTTCCATGCTGAGTTGGGGAGGCTGCACTTACCACCCACTTCCCCACTCCTGGCACAAATCGGAAGTCAGAAGCAGGTGGTATTATTCAGTCTCGTGGGCAGCATTCTTAGAATAGTCTTTCCATGTCCCATTTCAGAAGTCTGGTTTACTCATAAAGCCCCACAGTTTGGCTGGATGGCCACATGGGCCATGGTTAGTGCCCACTGGGATCAGCTGACACGCAGATGCTGGGAGCCCTAATGCAGGGATGATTAGGAATGCCTGCCACAGGCGAGGGAGCCAGACAGTGGTGCATGTGCTGAATATGTCACCTGTGAGCATCAGCAGAAGGAACTCCACCAAAGTCCACCCTATTCTTCGGCAGAGCTTGTCTGCACAGCCTTCATCCTGCTGGGTGTGCTCAGGCCTCGCTTAAGATTCCATCTATTCTTGTGGCCACAGGGCCACCTCTTCTTCGTCTGCTGAGCTGCTCTGTGTGCTGCTGCCTTTCAGAAATTGAGGCCAAGTACGATAAGAAGATGAAGATGCTTAGGGATGAGCTCGACCTGCGGAGAAAGACTGAGATCCACGAAGTGGAGGAGAGGAAGAACGGCCAGATCAACGTGCTGATGCAGCGGCACGAGGAGGCCTTCACAGACATCAAGAACTACTACAACGACATCACCCTCAACAACCTGGCGCTCATCAATTCCCTCAAGGTGCGGCCGGGCTGGGGAGCGGACCCACACCCTGTTACAAAGGTATTTGACAATGCCCCTCTACTTTCCTTGACTGAAATGCACAGATAATGTGACTCTCTACCCTTGTAGCTGGCGACAGTCAGGATGTTGCCCTGACCGTAGCGTAGGGGGAGTAAGGACACGCCACGCGTTCTGAGAGGTAAAAGTTCAGGCTGAATGGCAGAGCGAGCCATAGCACGGTGCACAGGCAGTCATGCCGCTGACGTGCCGGCAGTGATGGAGCCTCCCTAATGGCGGATGCCCCCTGGGGGTTCTGAACAGAGGGCAGTCTCTCAATTTGTGTGGAAGCTGCATTCCTAGAAAAGCCAGAATAGGTTAAAACTGTGCAAAAGTACTCTGTTTATACATAAAACAGTCTAGTCTAGGTCCTCAGAGTGCGAGCAGCCGGCAGGACCATTCTTTGTGGGCAGGACAGCTCGCGGCCCTCACCCTGAAGGCTGCAGCCCCTCAATTCCGCCTGCCAAGCCCCTCCAGAACCTCTACTTGCGCCACCAGGAGCAGATGGAGGACATGCGGAAGAAGGAGGAACACCTCGAGAGGGAGATGGTGGAGGTGTCTGTACAGAACAAGCGCCTGGCAGACCCTCTCCAGAAGGCTCGGGACGAGATGAAAGAGATGCAGAAGAAGCTCGTGAACTATGAGAGAGACAAGCAGATCCTGGTTGTGAGTTTCTGCCTGATTCATCACCCTCCTTGGCACCCTCTCCTGGGCTCGGAAGAGGAGGAACGGCAGTGAGAGCGGGGCTTGGACCTTAGGGCAGGAAGTGGGGAGCCGTGTTTCTCCTCTCTTTGACTAGTGTCCTGCGGTGGGGGGGGGAGTGGAGTTGGCTCATGCTCTGGGAGACAGGTATTCCCACCAACCCGCCGTGGTGGGGCTTAGCTGCTTGTCTGAGCCAGTTCTTTTTTTTTTTTTTTCACTTTTTGTGTTAATTTTAATGATAAAAAGGGCACAGGAGTAAAAACCTGATATTTCACTTATATTGCATAACAAGCTAACCAAACTGGACATGGAGGATAAATTATAAAACAAATCATTTTACTTATTGTTTCTATGAATTTTCTTTCGATTATATTTCTGTCTTTTCAAATAGGACTGAGGTATAGTACACTGGCAAAAATAAAAAGAGGCAAACAAGAATAGTGCCAAAATAACAGATACCCAAAACCGAATACCATGTCAGATAATGTCATATAGTAACCATTTATCAGATTAGAGCAGCAGGAGAAAGTTACTTCTAAATCATAATCATTTTAGTGGTATTTGTCAACTTCGCCACGGTAACTTTGCAACATCATTCTTCATTTGTGAAGTAGTAAAATTCATGTCAGAAAGGAAAGGGGGAACGGAGGGAGTCAGTCAGTTCATTCCAATAAATTACCTCTCCAGTTCTTACAAACATGTCCATCAGCACAAAATCGAGAAATAATACCCAAGACTAGAAGAGACTTGGTTTAAGTTATGAAGCAAATTAAAATGGAAAATACAGAAAAGTAGAACCAATGGGGTTGAAAAGGCCCCTCACTGAAAATCTGTATTAAAAAAAAATAAAATTAATAAAAATAAAAATAGAAACAAACTCTACTAGTACAAACTAGCCTGAGTGATTTGATGGACAGAGTAATTGGGTCAGCTGTCACTGTACTCTCATAAATGGACTTCCTCATTCATGTTCAAGTGGCACATGAATGAAGCTCTTTAAGGACAAGTACTGTATTTTCATGGGACCCAAATAGTTACTGTAGATCCTATAAATAAAAAACATTTTCACTTTGATAACTGACTGAAGATGTGGGGACTCCATGTAATTCAACTACAAGGTTGTTTGCTGTACAGTCCTGTGCAAATATAAAAAAAAGTTTGTTTTGCTATAAGGCTTTGACCCTACAGTTTTCACAGCAACATAACTACCATCCAGCATGTACCATATTTTGCAAGCCTTTGAGTTCAACAATTGTTGATTCATATTATGTCCAAATGCAGCATCCTTGAGGAGTATAGTGGGTCAGTCAATCATCTAGAGACATGCAAATATCTCCTGACTCATCCCATCGAGATGGCTCATTCTGATCTTCGCCATCATCAACCAGCTCTTCATCAGCGTCTCCCACTTCGTTCTCCTCGTATTCTTCATCCCGAGGGAAATCTGTGTCCTGTCCCTGATCTACACCTTCTTGCCCTCCTGGCTGTGATTTATCTGCACAGTCTACACAAACACCATAGCGTCGAGATCCATGTCTTATTCCAACACTGGCTGCTAACATGAAGATCTTCTTACACACCATACATTTGTATTTTTTATCCTTTTTATGCACCAGGGAATGTCTTTTTACATGTTCTCTGCGAGTAAACAGTTTTCCACAAATATCACAGCTAAATGATCTGACTCCCGTATGAATGAGCAAATGCCTTTTTAGTGTTCGTCTGTATTTGGCTACATAGCTACAATGAGGGCATTTTAACTTGTTTGATTAGAGATGATTCACCATTTTCCCAAGTTTCTTGTTTTGGCCAAGATTTGGGCAATAATCCATACTTGAAATCATTTGAAGCACCTGGTAGCAATCCATACTTGAAATCATTTGAAGTACCTGGTAGCAATCCATACTTGAAATCACCTGAAGGGCCAGGCATCAGGCCATACTTGAAATCATGTGAAGTACCAGTATCACTTCCATCTTGACCGGAGCTGGCTTCAGCCAATAAACTTGCATTCACATTCCTATCACAATCTGGCCCTGAGAGTAGAGCACCATCCAGATCTGGTTCTTCTTTGATGAACGACAAATCTTCTGGATAGGCAACAGGTGGCTGCATCACTGAGCAATCTTCTAAATTTGTTTCATTATTAGGTGGTATATTATAAATAAATCTCTTTGTAGTTTGGTTTTTCCTCCTTGCTTTGCCAGTCTCTTGAATTCCCTGGGATCCCATATTATTCCAAATAAACACTTTTGTTTGAACTTGAGATTCATTTTCAGCCAATTCAGGTGAACCATCCTGGACCCAACTGAGCCAGTTCTTGCTGAGGATTATTTTTGGCCTTGTCATCACTCCGGAGGCTGTGTTACATGGATGCCTGAATCCTTTCTGTCCCCCGCCCCATTTTCTCTCCAGTGCACAAAAGCACGTTTGAAGGTCACTGAGAAAGAGCTGAAGGGTCTGCAGTGGGAGCATGAGGTGCTGGAGCAGCGGTTCATGAAGGTGAGCACACACTGGGCTGGTCCCGCAGCCCACAGGCCAGGACCCCCAGCTGGGCAGGGCTCTTGCTGTGCCCTGTCGCCTGCGATTGGTTCTCAAAGAGCTCTCTCGATGAGACCTCTTGAAGGGGTCCTGAGGGTGTGGCTGGATTTCTGGGTTTGGAAGCTGGAGGTCCCATTGCCTGCTCCTTATTCTACGTGGTTGCTAAGAGGCAAAAACCTGTGGCACATTCTGTAGGAGACCCAGGGTCTCAGAGAGCAGGTGCCCTGTGGGGAGCAGATGGCGCCCACTGCATCCCCTCGGTGTCACCTCTGAAAGACACAGAGGCTGCCTGGCCCCTCACAGCAAGTATCTTTTTCATCGATATACATGTTTCTAAGTACTAAATGGTTACATGCGCATTGTCAAGAAGTCAGGAATCCTGAAGTCTGTAAGTAAAAACGAGAGGGTCCTCCTGCTGCCCAGCACTGGTCCTCACAGTAGTGACCGCTTCCTGAGTCTCCTTCCAGGCTTCTTCCTGGGTGTCCTAGTGTAGGAATGACTTCGTACTTCACGGAAGTGGGATCATGCCTTGGACGCACCTTTTGTCTCAGTGTGTCATGCCTTTTCTCCAGATTACACATGCGGAGCAGCCACCTCATTCCCCACAGGGACGCTCAGTCATGGATTTAGCCAGTTCCCCTTGACGAACATCCGTTTCAATCCTTTGCTGTTACAGCATCGCTGCCACAATTATCCTTTTAAGTTTATCTTTGTGTGCCTGTGTGAATATCTCTTTTAGGAAAGTCAGTTTCTTGCAGTGGAATCACTGGACCAGAAGGTTTACGTTCACAATTTGGATAGAGTCTGCCTGGAGGGCTGTTCTGAATGATGATCCGGTCCAACCTGCCCAAGGGGCCACTTCCTCCCCGCCCCAGATCTCACTAGTTCGAACCTTTGCTGTTATGATTGGGTGGAAAATGTCTCAGTGAATGTGCTTTTCTGAGATTTCCAGTGAGTGGCAGAGACACCCTCCCTGCCTCTGTGCAGTGTCCAGGGTCTGGGGCAAAGCAGTCTGTCTGTGTGCGCTGTCTGTTAGTGCAGGTTATCTTTTCTCACCTAACTGAAGTTCATGATATCAGACAGTGATAATGGAATGGGCCAGGTTCCTCAGGAACACTCCATAAGCAAGTCAGATCTAGATTCACCTTCTTCAAAGATGCCTCAGAGGGTTCTGCAGGCTGATGGACAGCCCAGGGGAAGGGGCCCGAGGGTAGCCACTGTCATGTCCCTCCCTGCTGGTTAAGGTGGGTATGAATAGGGGAGAAGAAAGCAGAGCCGAGCAGAGGCCTGTGTTGGAGCCTGTGCTCCCTGCCACCTTCTCTTCTGTTTGAATGTGGTTTCTGGTACGTGCCCATGTCAGCGTCTCCTTAGGAAACCAAGAGCACAGATTTGTCAGCCGATTTTACAGACCAAAGGGACGGACTGGGTTGAAGCAAATCTAGGGAATACTATGCAGTAGTTAGCAGGATAATGTGCTGCAGGGCTTTAGCACAGTCCGCTTCTCTTCCTAGCAGTAATGCATGTTTTTACATATCTAGGGAACATTCTGGAAGGAGTCCCACCAAACGTTCACATGGCCTCTGGGAAGTCGGGTTAAGAGGTGTTCACTCTTTACTTTTTACACTTCTACCAGGTCTTGATTTTTTACAGTGCACAGTTAATAAAAGAGTTAGGAGATGAAAAAGAACATTTATTGATTGTCAGGCGGTTACTCCAGGGCTGTGCCCTAAATCTGCTGTTTGTGGAGCACGTGGACAGCACCTGGGGTTCCAGGATCTGGGGCTGGCAGAGGGAGTAGATCCCCAAGAGGCCCCCCCACCCCCAAACACTGCTTTCTGGAGTCCAATACTCTGGATCTCACATGGGGGCGATCAAGGACACATGTGTCCCGAGCCCACTGCCCAAACCCAGGGCAAAGCCAGCCCTGACTCTTCTGTGGGGCCTCTGCAGCTCTATCCAGGGTGCCCCGTGACTTCCTGAGACACTTTCCTAGAGGAGGGCCCAACTAGTGTTTCTTCCTGCCCTCCACAGTGTGGACAGCTGCCTGCCTTTAATTCTGTCACAGAGAGTGGGTGGGCAGTGGTGTGGACGACACAGACCTGCCTGCCTGTGGTGGGCAGTGGTGTGGGCGACACAGACCTGCCTGCCCGTGGTGGGCACTGGTGAAAGGTGTTCTCTCTGTGGAAGCGGTGTGTTCTGGCCCAGAGGCGGAGGTGGGAGAAGGCTTCTTGCCACTGAGATGCCCCCGGGGAGGCGGCCTCACCCACCACGGCTTATGTGCAGGTGCAGCAGGAGCGGGATGAGCTCTACCAGAAGTTCACTGTGGCCATCCTGGAGGTGCAGCAGAAGGTGGGCTTCAAGAACCTGGTCCTGGAACGCAAACTGCAGGCGCTGAACACTGCTGTGGAGAAGAAAGAGGTGCAGTTCAATGAGGTGCTGGCGGCCTCCAACCTGGACCCCGCGGCTCTGACCCTCGTGTCCCGCAAGCTGGAGGTAGGCCTGACTGGCTCCTGGGGAGGGGCCTGGCTAGTGCCCCATACTCCGGCACCCAGCGGGCAGCCTGAGCTCTGGTTGGGGGTCACTTGTCTCAAGGCGGGACCCTGTGCATGTCCAGCCTCCGTCATTCCAGTGGAGACCCTACCTCAGTTAACCTCGGGGAGGGGCTGTCATGGGTTTCCCATGGTTGAGCCACTAGACTCCCCACGCGCAGTTCCTCCCTCCCTCTCATCAGTTTTGCTTGAGTTTCCCTCAGGGTCTTCCTTGATACCCTCCTTATCGGCGCCTTCCAGTCCCCAAGCCAGCTGCCTGTTCATTTCTCAAGATGGATTCAGCTAGCCGGTCAGGCCCTGGGTCACTCTTGAACTTCTGGGCCTGAGCTCCTTGGTCATCTGGTGACAGACCCAGACACAAGCCGGGGGGATGGCGGAGTCCTCTGAGCTCTCAGCCGAGGCCACTGCCACCGTCTGCCTGAGACACTAAGATGCACTGGTTTAGGCCGTGGAAACTTAGGACAGGGACGTGCAGGGCTGTGGGTATGCTTTGCGGCGGGTGCCGGGGAAGGCTTCCCAGAGGGAGTTACGTCTGATCAGAGGCCGGAGTGTGTTTGCTCATGAGTCCACGTTATTTATGGCACTCCTCTGTGCTGGGACTGTCCTGGGCACCAGGGGCAGGAGTAAACAAGACAGATGAAGCCGAGGTGCCCACGGGCCAGCTGGTCACCTGAGGAATTAGGACGGCAATCACCACCACCTTTGACCCAGCAGCAGAAGCCCCAATAGCACCTGGCAGGTCATCTCTTAGCCAGAGCTGGGCCTTGTCCCTCTGTTCACTGGTTGGGTTGGGGGTGTCACAGGAAGAGGGGGCGATGCTGGACGAGGGGTCTGTGGCTGCCAGGGAAGCATGGCTGAGACTCGATCCCGGCTGGCTGGGTGACCTGTAGCCACCAGGGCTGAGGGGGCTTCAGGGGTGCCTCCCTTGGGGGCCTGGGGACAGACACAGGTGTGCATGGGCCCCTGGAAATGCAGCTGGTCTCCATGTCTCCATCTAGAGGCCCAGTGAGGGGAGGCTGGCTTGTCCCAGACATAGGTGCTTCCAGGGTGAAGGGCACCTGTCTGTCTCCGCTCTTCCTTCACGGAGAAACAGATCTTCTGGGTCACAGTGAGGCCGCCTCACTGTCTGTGCAGGTGTGTTTGATCCTGAGAAGCAGCACAGGCAGCATTTTTAAGGTGATTTGTCAGCACGCAGTTCAGCTGAACACCATCTGCCCCTGTGGCCTCCAGGCCTGAGGATTGGCTTTGTGTCAGATCACCCGGTCTTTATTTAAAGCACTCCAGGCTGGCTTGCTCCCCACTGGGCTCGCACTTAGTTCTTTTTTACACTTATGAGCCCCTCGCTGCCGCCCGGGCATTGCGGGGATGCAGGGCTGACCTGAGAGGAACAGAGCTAGCTGGGGTGATTCTGAAGCCTGTCAGCGTTGCCCCCAAGTTTGGAGCCGATGGGAACCATGGAAGGTTCTGGGCAGGGGGGACTGGATCAGAGCAAGCCCACTGTGCCACACATGGGACCTGGAGGGCAGGCGGGGAGCACACAGGCGCCAATGCAGGATGAAGGACTCATCTCCCAGTGAGGAGGGGCTGGGAGTCCCAGGTGACGTGTGCCCACGTTTTTGGCTGAGACCAGGTGTTGGCTCACAGGGGAGCAGGGTCCTGATTCAGAGGTGGCAGTGCCTGTGGGACCCGAGTCACCAGGGCTAGGCTCTTGGGGCCTGGGGTAGTGCAGCCACATAGGAGGGGCCTCGGCCTGGGCCAGCAGCACCGTGGTCCTGGCTTCGGGGCTCCTCTCTGTCCTTGTCCTGATTTGCGTGTGAATCACCGAGACCACTGGCAGGCAGGTGGAGTGAGGACGCCGTTAGAAAGCGGAGGCCAGCTTTCCCGCCTCTCCTCTTGGGAAGGGCCTCCTGGAGCTGGAGGAGGCCCTGTGATGGGGGGGTAAAGACGTCCTGCTCACAGCGGACACCGCCACTACGCCCGTGGGCCAGGGTGCAGTGTGGGTCAGCGCTCGCCTTTCTGGGTGGCCGGAACCCCCAGGGAAGTGACTCCCAGGCGGCAGGTGGGGCTTCGAGGGGGCTTTCCTGGGCCGTGGTTGGCAACAGGCAGCTCCAGAACCAGGTGGGCTGCCCCTCAAACCCCTGTCCTCACTTCTCACCATCTACACAGTTTCCTTATAGGGGCAGATCCTTTCTCCCTTGGAGACCTTTCCACACTGGCTGCTCCCTGTGGATGTATGCGTGATGGGGTCAGGCCGCCATTCCCTGGACATCTGAGGTCCCCTTGCTGGAGCCCCACCAACCCGTCTGCCTCGGCCCCGAAGTCTCAGACTCACGTCTGTTTTTCTCTCCTCAGGATGTTCTGGAATCAAAGAACAGCGCCATCAAGGACTTGCAATACGAGCTGGCTCGAGTCTGCAAGGTACGACGAGCCCTGCCCCTCCCTCAGGGCCCGACCCCACCCCGTTTATACCTTTGCCCAGGAGGCGGGTGTGGACACAGCCTGAGGCCGTCTGTGCCTGCCCAGGGTCACTGGCCTGCGTGTAGCCTGGGGCACATCCCCACAGCTCCGGCCACTGTCCTGGTGTCCCTTACGGGGCCTGCCGGTGCATGTCCAGGAAATGAGGGCAGTTTGTCTCATCCAGCAGGCTCTGTCCCTGTCTCCCCGTCTGACCCTCACTTGCACCGCAGTGCTGACCTGGCCTCTGGGGTGACTGGAGGGGCCGCCTCTACTCCCCAGATTGATGCCCAGGTCCTTCAAGCAGGGGACAGTTATGGGTCTGACCTTTTCCAACTCCTTTGTAAGTGATGGAAGCCACACTCCCTTTCCACGCTGAGAACAGGCGTGGGCATGGAGGCCTCCTGCAGTTGGGGACGGTGGTGCCCGCTGTGGTCCGTGCCACGCCTGAGAGGCCCGGGCACCCAGTGTTCGCAGCTCCATAATTGAGCCCACAGTTCTGTCTGGGCTTTGCCCGTGGGGAATGCAGACACAGTGCTGCCTGCAGACACATTTACCAGGAGCAGCACCCCCACGAGTGACCCAGAAATGCCTGTCATACTGCGGGGTGGGCATTGCACATGAGGCCTGTGGAACCCCAGGATGAAGACAGCACCTGTCGTTGGCGCTGGGCCTTCTCTCGGCCCTCCCCAGCCTCATCTGCCCATCTGGACCTTCCCTTAGGTGCTCTGGCATCTCCTGATACTTATACGAACAAAATTAGCGCCAGCTACTCGTGTGTGTCATTCTTGGGGGAACTGACCACCAGGAAGTCCATTTATAGTGAAGGGGGAGAGCCAGGCCAGCCCCCAAGTTCTTCCTGGAGCCCGGCCTGGAACTCTCAGCTCCGAGCCCTGGTGCCCTTTTCTTGACGACACTTTTAAATTTTATTTATTTCTTTCTTTTTCCCCAAAGCCCCAGTAGATAGTTGTATGTCATAGTTGCACATCCTTCTAGTTGCTGTATGTGGGACGCGGCCTCAGCATGGCC